CAGATGGCACCCGAGAGAGCCGCAGCTGTAGGACGGAGCCCATTTCCCGGGGCTCTTTCTCTCGCTGTTATTATTACTACTACTATTATTGTTGCTGGCATTATTATTAATAGTAGTAATCAATTATTGCTATTAGTAGTAGTAGTAATAATAATGCTGTCATGAAATACTGTAATAATCATGATATTGATTACTATTATTCCTCTGCTGGGTTCCTCCCAGGGGTCCTGAAATGCAAACCCCGATGCCCCTAGCTGGGCACACACTCACGCACGTGTGTTTTGGCGTTTTCGCTCTGCGGATCTCCCTAAAAGAAAGACGGGGAGAGAGACGCTTTGCACCTCTGCACGCCGCTCCCGCGGGTCTCGGAGCAGGCGGCGAAGCCGCCGGGAAGATGCAGGGGGTGGGAAGGGTGGCGGGGACCGGGCTGCCGGCTTTTCTACACACAGCCTGGCGGGGGCAAGTGATGCATGGGGCTGGGGGCGCCCTTTGCCCCAAACCACTCACAGAGACACCCAGCCAACCCCGCCGCCACGTGTGCCACCCAACTGCCCGCCTAGGTGTGCCAAGGTAGTAGATCTCCTGCCAACCCCTCTGCATGTAGACAGTGCTGAAATGTGCCCCGTGGGAACCGTATGCATTGAATACTGTGCATACACACACACGTGCGTGCGTGTGCGATATATTTTGTATAAGCACACGCGCGTATGTGTGTATATATAAATATATACATATATGTGTGTGTGAGAGAGATATATTGTGTATATACACAATCGCGCGTATATGCATATATACATACATATGTGTGGTGTATATATATACATAAACATATATGCATATATAAATATATACATGTCTATGTATATATAAATATATACACGTGTGCGCGTGAGATATTTTGTATATACACACGCACGTCTGTGGGTATATATAAATATGTACATATATGTGTGTGTGTGAGAGAGATTTTTGTATACGCACACACGCGTATGTATGTAGAAATATATGTATAAATAAATATATATATATACATATAGAGAGAGATGTGTGTGGGCGTGTGTGTGTACACGGATGCTGTTTTCATGTGTGCTGCAGTACACCGACTGCTTAAATCCGCACACATACGCGGGTGTGCAGCTGCGTGTATGAGAAGGGCAGAGAAGATATTACCTGCACGCGCTTCGCCTAAATGAGAGCCGGAGGCTACATGCTTGGCGTAGGGATGCACAAACACCGACACTCTCTAACGATCGCCTATCCCGAAACTGCACAGACACGTGCCCCACACCGGCTTTTGATTGATACCAAAAGGCATGTGCTAAATATTGGGTGTTGAGCCAAACCCAGGCGAGGCAAAGCCCGGGCTCTACCTCTTTGACACCTCCATCGGGGGTGGAGCGGGGCCAGCTCACCAGGAGCAAATCGTTGCCCGTCTGTCTCACTTTGCCCGCAGCGGGATGCCTGCACGTTTATGGGGGGCGGTGGGTAGGGTGGGGATCACCCCGGGCAGAGTTAAGCCCTTCCGAGGGATTGCAGTCTCCGGCCTGGAGGAACAGGGGTGCTCCGCACTCGTGTCCCTATTAGAGGGCAGCTCCGCTGATGATTCCCTCGCCGGAAAGGAGATCTCCGCTCTTGCCTTAGCAGAGGGGGGAAACCAGGCAGTGGCACTGGGCGGGCGATTGCCCCGCGCCCGTGGCCGGGGGCAGGTGCACTGCGATCCCACGCGGGAAGGGGTGCAGCAGGGCTCGGAGGAGAAGTTGAGACGCGCTTGTCACTTGCAAGAGGAGGTGGTTTGGGAGGATCGCTGCTTGTCTTGGTGCTGGGGGGGGGTCTAGATGCCCCCCTGCAGCCTCCCCGACACAGCCGGAGGGCCCTGGGCACCACCAGGGCTGGGGCTGGGAAAGCGCTGGCTGGTGAGGGGGTGGGGTGGGGGTCTCAAGCTTGGGCCAGGACCAGCGTGAAAGGGAGCAGCGCCCGAGGCTGGGGGCAGGCGCGGGGCAGAAGCGCTTCTCAGCAAGCAGAGCACGCGAGGAAAAGACACACGTGCATGGGGACCTGGCAAGGGCCACGACTGCCCAGCTGGCCCTGTGCCGGGCAGAGAATCAGAGCTCGGCGCACCGCTGTAGCCAGGCCGAGCCGCCGCCGGGATCGTTATAGACGTGCACACGGGCCGGGCCCGGACTGGGGGAGGCTTTGGTTTAAGTCGCCTGCCTGAATTACACCTGAGGCATGTGTTTGGGGTTTTTTCCCTTAGCGGTGGGGGCGGGGGGGGGGCAGGTTCGCTTCTTATTTTCCAGACGAAACAAAAAAACTCGTGTCCAGATCAAATAAAAATTCCCGGCACCCAAACAGCAGGCAGGAGCGAGCGGGGAAAGCCCCGCGGGCTCAAGGAGGCTAGGACAGCCGCCGTTTTCAAAGGCATTCACCACTGCTGGGATCTTAATCGGCGCCGAAATCTCAGTCCTGCAGGGCCGGCCGCTACTGTGAGTCAGGTCTGGGCCGGGGCTGCGGCTTCTCCTTCAGCCTAAATGCGAGTGCGGGTTGGGTGTCTATGGATAGATAGGTCTCTTGAGCGGTACCCTGTATGCACGCATGCATGTGCAGATAGATAGATAAACTATCTACATATACAACTGTACAGATCTATCTATAAATCCACACACACATACTGTGTGTGTGTATACATACATATATATAGATATAGATATACCTATGTATGTATGTATATGTATAAACCTACTTGTATATGCCTCTGTGTGTATATAGCTATATATATACGTGTGTACACACGTGCATATCTAGATACATGCACATATATATGTATAGCTATTTAGGAATATACAGATAGATAGATAGTATTAGATAGATAGATGTATCTATCCACACACACATATATGTATGTATATGCCTATCTGTATGTATATATCCACATACATACATGTGTCTATCTATCTATACAAATATATACAGCTATATAGGCATAGATAGATAGATAGATAGATAGATAGATGTGTATATGCCTATCTGTATGCACCTGTATGTCTGTACCTATAGGTATATACATGCCTGCATGTCTTTGCAGGCAGCCCTCACAACTCCACAGCTGCGCGCACCTCGGGCCCGAGCCCGCCGGA